CCCTGCCACAGAGGTCCCCCCTGCCACAGAGGTCCCCCTGCCACAGAGGCCCCCCCCTGCCACAGAGGCCCCCCCGCGACAGAGGCCTGGTGGCCCCTGAGCCCCGAGTGGAATGTCCCGGTCTAGAGGGCCCTGGCTGCTCCAGTGACTTAAGACCCATATGTGAATCCTGGCTCCATCGCTCTAGGCCTCGTTTTTCAGTTGTAAAGCAGGGATGACCGCATCTATTTAACTCCTAGATTGTTATCAAGTCAAGGGCAACAATAGGAAAACATGTCACCTGTCAGCTCCACACAAGGTAAAGTAGGATGGGTGGCCCCTGACTAGGGGCTGGGGGTGCAGGGGGCACGTGACCCATCTGGCTAGCCACAGCCTCTGTACCCTGCTCCCACTTTCAGGCCTCAGTCCCCAAGCACTGCTGGCCCTGGACTGTTTTCCCCACTCAATTCTGATTTCTCAGTGCCTGCTTCTTCCCAGTAAGTGCCACACCCTGAGGGTGGGTGGGAGAGTGAGGCACCAGTGCCCGCTTTGGCTGGGACTGGACACTGCTGGGGACAGCACAGGCCACATCTTCCCCATCTCAAGACTGGCTTTTTGGCCGGGCGCAGTGGCTCATGCCTGTTATCTGGGCACTTTGGGAGGCTGAGGTGGGAGAATTGCTTCAGCCCAGGAGTTCCAGACTAGCCTGGGCAAAATAGCAAGAACTCGTCTTTATGAAAAAGAAAGAACAAAAATTAGCCAGGCCATGGTGGCACACACTTACAGCCCCGGATACTTAGGAGGCCGAGGTGGGACGATCCCTTGAGCCCATGAGTCGGAGGCTGCAGTGAGCTATCAGTGGCACCACTGCACTCCAGCCTGGGTGGCAGAGCAAGACTCCAACTCAACAACAAAAACAAGGGCAGCCTTTTCCCAGCTGACGGCACCCTGGCTAGTTAGGGTTTCCCGGAATCTGCACTCCTGTTTGATGGTGGGTCTCAAATGCTGGGAGGCAGCAGAGTCACTGGTCAGCGGCAAGACCTGGAGTCTCCATTTGGAACCAGCAGCCGGGAGCCTCTGCTGGGGGTAATGGAGGAGCCGCACGTGGAGGCTGGTGGCTCTGGTGGTTTGAGCCGTCCCTCAGCAGCGCAGCACACCCACTCCTGGGGAGCCACTGGGCTCATGAGTGTTTGGAAAGTGCTATCAGTGCTGGCTGTAAGGAAACAGGCTTGACTTTAATTCAGCCTTTCCCAAATTTCACTATAACACTTTCTTGAAAATTAGAATAACCGGCCGGGCGCGGTGGTTCACGCCTGTAATCCCAGCACTTTGGGAGGCCGAGGCGGGCGGATCACGAGGTCAGGAGATCGAGACCATCTCGGCGAACACGGTGAAACCCTGTCTCTACTAAAAATACAAAAAAATTAGCCGGGCATGGTGGTGGGTGCCTGTAGTCCCAGCTTCTAGGGAGGCTGAGGCAGGAGAATGGCGTAAACCTGGGAGGCGGTG